GTTGGTGCTCGGCAAGTGTGGTCGGGTGCTAGTCATGGCCCTCCAGTTTGGGTCGTGACATAGAGGTAGGCTAAAGAAGAGGTGGGGAGAAGTGATTAGGCAAGACATTGCACAACTTCAGTTGACCGAGGACATGACTCTTGATAGGAAGGTATGGACGTCGAGAATTAGAGTAGTAGAGTAGGTGGTGTAGAGTGTTCATAACTTTAGTATTGGCACGCAGTCTCGTTTTCTGTTGGTAGTAGGTTTTTATGACTAACCATTGTTTTCTTTCATTGCTGATCACTTTACTGTCTTGTTGTGTTATTCTGCTTTTATATGGCTTTTTGATATTGTCTCTTCTTGCCTATATTTTTATTAATGTGGTACTTATACTATCTTGAGCCGAGGGTCTATTAGAAACAATTTCTCTATCCTCACAAGGTAAAGGTAAGATCTGCGTACACACTACCTTCCCCAGACCCCACGGTGTGGGATAAATAATGGGTATGTTGTTGTTGTTGTTGTTGTTGTTGTTAATATATGAACTTAGATATAATAAACAGTAGTATATTATTTAGTTAGCAGGTGTATGTTTCTTTCTACTGTTTTGGTTACTTCATCGACATAGTTGTAATATTATGCAATCTTTATTGTATGCGGTAAGTTTGGTTTTCTTATAAAGAATGTTTCATTTTATTTTGGTTTTTCTTCTTTTAATATTTTTTTTTGTGTGTGTGTTCATCTGTTAAAGTCACGTGGAATACCCACAACCGATCTAATATTCTAATTTGTATTTAAAGGTCGAGTTTCGTTAAAAATGTAAAATATTCTATGCAAATAATACCTCTTTTTTGTCAAGTCGATGAAGATTTGACATTGCATAAAACTACGTTCTACTACTAACTATTCGGACATAAAACTTTTGACATAGTAATAAATAAAATATTGCTTAGTTAATTTCAAGGCACTAAATATTTGGAAAAATAACATGAAAGGAATTAAATTATGTCCACTGTGAACTCAACTTTTAAATAGTAAGAATTTTACTAAGTGACTTGTGTTTTTAATATAGTTAGTCTTTGAGTACGCACTTTGGAGTGTCCTTATATTAATAAATAAAAAATTTAAAATAATATAATTATTATTAAAATATATATATATGATTTATAAAATAAAATTAAGGAAAAAATATAAGTTCCTGAAAATGATGAATAAGCACAAACAATGACAAATTGCTCATTTCTTAATTGTAACGTTAGAGGAAGATAGCTTGAGATAATTATCCGTCCACTTGGTCCTTGGAAACTTGGTATCCAGTTTTGCAAGAACTTATGGGGTTAGGAACCCTAATTCAGAGAATGAGAGAGTGAAAAGCTCTGCATAATAATAATCACTTTACAAAATGTAATTCAGAGAATGAGAGAGTGAAAAGCTCTGCATAATAATAATCACTTTACAAAATGTATATATACACAATACAGACCATCTCTTAAATTAACCACCCTCTAACCTCTTAACTAGTAAAAATTACACGGGGCGTCCTATTTGGTAATTTATACCTATTTTTTTTTTAAAGTTTTAATTTGTACTCACTTTTTANAAAAAGCTTGGATGAACAATCAATCACTCAAAATGATGAACAAAATTCAAACCATGAACGCCTATAAGGTAGGCAGCCTTCCTGTCTTTCTGTCTCCAGCCATTAATGTGTTGTATAAAATATTACGACAACAATAAATACTTAAATAATACTTGTACGACACAGTAGTTCTGTGGAAGAAACCAGACTAGCATTTTCATGTGTGAGGCAAGAGCAAATCAGAAAAACTTCAGCTCTAGAGTTAAGTTCGCCAGTTACAAAACAAAAACTTCAGCTCTAGAGCTGAAGTTCGTTAGTTACAAAAACAAAAACTTCGCCAGTTACAAAACAAAAACTTCAGTCAACTACTTTGTTATACAAAAACTTACTTTGTTATACAAAAATCCAGAGAACATTGTTATACAAAGTTCTGTTTTCATGCCAACTACTTTGATTTTCATGTGTGAGACAAGAGCAAATCAGAAAAACTTCAGCTCTAGAGTTGAAATTCGCCAGTTACAAAAACAAAAACAGCTCTAGAGCTGAAGTTCGCCAGTTACAAAAACAAAAACTTCAACTCTAGAACTGAAGTTCGCCAGTTATAAAAACACAATTACAAAACAAAAACTTCGCCTGTTACAAAACAAAAACTTCAGCTCTAGAGCTGAAGCACACTTGTTACTTCAGTCCCGTCTACTAGAATGCTGAAGTTTTGCGTGATTGCCTTTGCTACTTTAGAGTTGTATGCTGAAGTTACGCGAAAAAGTGGATACGCTTGCAATTTTTTTTGCAAAGCGAGCACAAGTTAAAACGTGACCCAAAAAGCAGGTATAGATGCAAATGTCCCTCTTAACTACCAAACTTCTAACAGTGGCTAACCAAAGATTTCGGTTATTCATTAAATGACTAAGTTACCCTCTGCTCATGTTAGTCCTTTTGTCTCGACAAGTTACAATTGCAGCCTTTTAAGCTAATTGTCCCTCCTAAAATGTTCAACTCCCTTTAGCTTTAGGGAGTTGAAAAAATTATGCAACCTAATCCAGAAGAAAAAAACAAATAAATAATAAGAAATGCTGGACATTAATGTCACCTAAATCCAGCAGCAGAAACTTCACATTATTAAGAAATACAACTTGGTTAACTCAATATATGTGGGAAATTTTAGATGATGTGACAAAGTACATGTTTAACATTATTCAGCAAATACAACATTGATAACTCAACAAGTGCAGGTATCTCAAGATGTTGATATCCTGCACGTAATCGAAAATATATAATCGGAATCGCTTTTAACGGCCATAAGTACAACATGAGAGCTTGCCTTTTCCAGTATTTAACTCCTTTTCTGAGCTTCCTCCACACTATTCCGCATCAAACTTATGACTTGTGCTGGATCAGGAGCTCCAAACACTGAACTTCCTGCAACAACGCAGTTTGCTCCAGCTGATGATGCAGCCTCAATGGTTGAAGGTCCTAAACCACCATCCACCTGCAACACAATAGCCCATAGCAATGATAAATCGACTTTATCCAGCATGCTCTTTGACCAAAAAAAGAAGTGATAAATCCAGAAAGATAGCCAGCATATTTATAGCTTGTTTAGCCAAGCTTCTTTCAAGGCCAAAAGTGTGTTTTTTTTTCTCCAAAAAATACTTTTTTTCTCAACTCGAGGTGTTTGGCGAAGCTTTTTTGGGGAAAAAAAGTGATTTTGAGAAGAAGCAGAAGCAATTTTGAGAAGCAGAAAAAAGTAATTTCTCCCCAAAACCAGAAGCAGTTTTGATTTTTTTTCTTATAAAAAATACCCTTACAAAATATTACTAGTATATACCAAGATAACCCTACCTATTTAAAACCTAATACTCTTATTTTTAGGATAGCTTTATAATATATAGTGATTTCTGGGTGAATGCATTTATATTTGTTGAATAATTTTTTGATATATTCAAATCATCTTAAAAGAATTAAATTACTTTTTAATTTTATTTTCATATTTTACTTAAATAAAATGAAAAAACTTAATTATTATCTTTAATAATAAATTGATGATATTATTTATTTACTTATATAATATTAACTAATAAGTAAATCACTCCATGTCCTTATTCATTTGATACTTAAAAGCGCTTTTTGAAAAGCTTGCCCAAACACAAATTATTGCTCAAAAGTACTTTTCAGATTGATTAGCCAAACACAAACTGTTTCTCTCCAAAAGCACTTTTGGAAAAAGTACTTTTCAAAATAAGCTAATTTTTCCAGTTTGGCCAAACAGGCTATTAGTGGCAAGAACGGCCATAGTTTTTTCAGAGATAACATGATAACTCAAGAAAAGAACAAACACATGAGGGAATTGTCCGTGAAAACACGATGGAAGTCTGAATATCTCAAACCATAATTGAACCATCATGAAATGGAAGCTCACCTCTATATCAAGCGATGGATACTTCTTTCTGAGAGTCCGTACCTGAATATTGAAAGAGAAGCTTTTAAGTTATAGTGCAGAAATGATGAATGATATCCAATACAAGAATGCAAATTGTATTCGCACCTTATCCATCATCTCTGGCATAAACTTTTGTCCGCCAAATCCAGGTTCAACAGTCATCACTAGGACCAGTTCGACAGAGTTTTCACCATCAAGCTGTAAAACATACAAGCAAGCTGATGAATCATGACAGGTATTTGTAGATTGACACCTAATTTGTTCCTTTTTCACTTAGGGGTCGTTTGGTAGGATGTATAAGAATAATGTTGAATAAGGTGTATTAGTAATGCAGAGATTAGTAACACATGGGTTAGTAATGCAAGCATTAGTTATGCAGAAATTATTTCTTATCCATTGTTTGGTGTGGTGTATTAAAAATTAAAATGCATTGCAAAATTTTTAAGAATATTAGTTGTTTACAAAAATGCCCTCCATATTCTTTAGCTTTAAAGGAATTTAAGGATAATTTTGTCTTTAACCATGCTAATGCATGCATTAATAGCCTTGGTATTGCTAATACCATGGTTAGCTACGGATTAGCTATACATAGGATAATACCAATAGGGTGTATAACTAATGTAGGTTGAAAAAGTGTACCAAACAAGGTATTACTAATACACAAAGCTAATGCATGCATTAATAGCCTTGGTATTGCTAATACCATGGTTAGCTACGGATTAGCTATACATAGGATAATACCAATAGGGTGTATAACTAATGTAGGTTGAAAAAGTGTACCAAACAAGGTATTACTAATACACAAAGCTAATGCATGCATTATTTTCCCTAATGCACTCTACCAAACGACCCCTAAATACGATGAGTGATTTCCTTTTCAAAACAATCTTAATCTCTTAGTTCATAGCAAGGAGATCAAACTACCAAGAAAATCCTGTGAATTTTGCTTATAAAACTAATAAAAATGCGATAATGAAGATATACCAGTGGGTACACTTCCTCAATTGGTGTACCAGGCTTCAAAGAAACTCCAGGTTTCATGCCCTTAGACTTTATCCGTTGAACAAGCTCTTGCCAATTATCTGCAAAGAGTAGAAACTTCATTATAACAGAAATCAAATTAATGATACCAAAGTCAGTAGAAATTAAGGATTCATTATGAGCATAAAATATTTTACTGGAAAAGGTTGTCCAATTTTTAGGTTTTGGTTGCATAAACTAATAAAAGAACTTGCTAATCAAAATGTTTCACAACAAACAGAGAAAAGCAACTCAATATATTGAAGGCACAAAGCAATTGATGCGCTGATGCTCCACCAGTACCAATACACTATGCACAGACATGCATATTCAACTACTAACTACTCATTATCTATCCCCTAATCACATCCTTTCCATACATCACTCAATCTATCTCTATCAATCCTAGTGAACAGCGACTAATATTTAACTGCCATCAAATGACAAAAACTGATTCTTAACATGGGAAGTAAACCCACCTCTAGATGCCTCAACATGGAAAGTAAACCCTGAGGCACCAGCTTTGCCTAACGGCTCCACATAATCAAGGGGATTAGTGACCATGAGGTGGCAGTCCAGATATGCCCTGGAGAAATTCAGAATAACATTTAGAACAATATCACTGTACAAAAGATAACTAATGGACAAGAAAAATAAAGTTGAAATAGGGCACTCATGAAACATTACTTTGTATGCTTTCGCAGACTCTCGATAACTGGAGCACCAAGGGTAAGGTTTGGGACAAAGTGACTGCAAAAGAGCCAAGTGGGGAAAAAAGAAAAAAGAAAAAAGAAAGAAAGTATTATTCAATTGGTATCCACTCATCATTTTAACATGTTGTAAACAACCAGCTTGACGTGACTATCTGACCTACCCGTCCTGCAATGCACCAATACAACGTTTCAGTAGTTGCTGATGAATGAAGTGCCTAGTAAAGTTAAGGAACAAGTTTCCACAGCACTTTACATCCCAAACTTATTGAGGTAATAAAGAAGAGAAGACTGAACATATTAATAACACAGTCCAAATGAAAGCAGATGAAGCACACTTTGCATAGAATTCTAGACCAATCAATATTTCCACTTTGAGGAGGCTATAATCGATTTAGCTAGGTCACTATGCTATAGAGTTATGGCATAATGACCTAGCTAAATCGATCATAGCCTCCTCAAAGTGGAATTATTGAGCTACCTGAGCCGAGGATCTATTGGAAACCACCTCTCTATCCTCACAAGTAGGGGTAAGGTGTGCGTACACACTACCCTCCCCAGATCCCACGGTGTGGGATAATACTGGGTATATTGTTGTTGTTGTATTCTGCTATAGAGCTAGCAAACAAGAAACTGCGCTAGTACAACCACCTAGTTTATCCTGGAGTGATGAGTTCACATGATATGGCCAGCCTCAGAAGCACACCTTTACCTAAATAAAGAAGGCAGCCAACCACTATATTCTTGTAAAGTAAATGTTGAGAGGTTCTCACAAACCTATAGTTACTTTTCCTTGTAAAGTATAATAAACCTTCTTAACTGTCATTCGATAGTAAACCACGCAGTCTCTTTCTTGATAAGCAAAAGATACTTCATTAAATGGACCAAGAAGGTCCCAAAGTAAAATATGCAATCATAAAAATTGATTATCTCCCAGTCTTCCTGTACAAGATCCAGCATATGGCACTTAACCTATACTCTGTTGATACTCATTATTTCTAATAAATTGGAAGGGGGAAAGTATTGGAGGAATTCGGAAAAATTCTCACACCAGGTTTTCAACACCATGTTTCCACTTATTTTCCTGATACTCAGCTAGTTCAACATGAAAATTGTCTTTAACTACCTAGCTAAATACCAATACTCTATCAATCAATCAGCTACGCCTCAATTCGGGGTTAGTTGGGGTTAGATACATGAATACTCTGTATTTTTTTCCGCATGAACACTCTGTATTCCTCCACTTTTCTGGGGCAACGCTAATAGCAACTGACATTTGAGCTAAAAAAACAAAAAAGACAAAACGAATCCTACTACAGTGTTCTGTTTCTTAACTTTTCAATTGGAAGATGGTAAAAACAAGAGCAAATTAAGTCAGTAATAAACAGCAAGGAAGACAGCTAGAACTTTTCTGCTTAAAAGTAGTAAAATATTTATTTTTCAACTTCAATCAAACAATTCATCGCTAAAAAAAACAGCAACAACAACAACAGCAATAACGAGAAATGAAAAAAAATAAATAGAGAGAGGAAGGAGCAAAATAAACAACAAAATTACCATGATGTCCATGTGAAGCCAATCAGCACCGCAATTGAGCATGCGTTGTGCTTCAGATGCCAAATTAGCGAAGTCCGATGACAGCATCGACGGCGCTACGATTGCTTTCACCATCTTCTTCTCCTCCCTTGCAATTAACAAAACAAATTAAATTTATGAATCAGTAGAGGAATCTAAAGCTAGAAAGGAATCACGTAGAAGCTTCCAGTAAATACCTATCGGCCGTTAATTCTCCGTTCAATCTAAAGTCCGGCGCCGGCGTAAGTAGCTATTCTCTCTCTATCTCTCTCTTTATTTTGGAGTGGTAGTACTAAATACATTTTACCCTCCCACCAACCATTTCACTTTCACTTTCACTCATTCTGGTTTTTACTTTCAGAATAAATCAAAATTTACCACAGGAACACATTGTCTTTAGTACGTGACGTTTGGGAGTAATGCTTATTACAACTTAGAAACGATTGTACAGTTTAGTAAAACAATTATATACGAGGGTTATAGAAAAAAGAAGTTGAGAATAATCGCATATTAAGAAAGAGTAACAGGTAATTTTTGTCAAACTATTTTTTTAAGGATGCAGACGTGCAACGTAATTTTACTGAAAATAAGAATTGCAAATATAAAAACGACATGTGTAGGGACGGCCTGATACGCAAGACATGTCGTGTTCACCCATGGTCAGGAAGAGTTGCAATTCAAGAATGTAACCTAGATAGCCTACCTTAATGTAAATGTTAATGGCTACTTTTAACATGTATAAATTTTTTAGATTAAAATTAGATTTTTAAGGGCTTAATTAAGCCAAATCTGAGTCGGTTAGCGTCCCGTCCCGGTCCCGTCCCGTCCCGCTTCAAGTTAAATGGGATGGGCCAATGTTAAACGGGACACGGGATGGGACGGGACGACCATTT